AATATTCAACTGGAGGTAAAAGAGTTTATATTAAACAATTATTTGTTGCTAACAACATTATTTTTTTCAGATACCTTGCTTTTTATCGTTCCGGCCACCAGATTCGTTGGTTTTCATAAAGTTTCATTTGCCTGTGCCACTTCCACCCGTGTTTATAAGGCGTAATATTCAACTGGAGGTAAAAGAGTTTATATTAAACAATTATTTGTTATTAATAATATTATTTGTTGCTAACAACAATATTTTTTACAGATACCTTACTTTTTTATCGTTCCGGCTGCTGTATTATCCGATTCTTGTGTGTTGGTTGGTATATCGGAAGCTTTAGTGCAAGATGTTCGAAGAAAAACTTATAGCAGAGATTGAAAAACACAACTGCTTGTGGGACAAACGACAGCTTAGTTACCGCGATCGGGTGAAGAAAGATTTGGCTTGGCGAAATGTAGTGCTGCTGTGGGACATCCTGGTTAGTATAGAGTTTTTCAAACATATAGCAGTTTTGTAATAGGACGAACCAAATTATAACAAATTTGTGACGAATAATTGTGACGAATACTATATTTTTACTTTACAGAGGAAAACTGCCGAAAGCGATGGAAATCGTTAAGAGACCGATATGGAATAGAATTGAAGGTTGATCAACAACCTAGCGGAAGTGCTGCGTCGTTTAGACGAGCTTGGCCATATTACGAAGCTATGTTGTTTTTGAAAGACACGGTCACGCCCAGACAGTAAGTGTACTTTACATTTGTACAACAAGTATTTATATTTTAAATTGTAATTTATATGTACATATTTTAAGGACAACAACAAACATCGTTTCCCAAACGCCAGAAGTTCTCGGACAAGAACCAGATATACTGGATACTTCCTTTGGATTCCAAATAGGCGAGAGTGGGAACATTATAATAGAAGAGCAAGAAACCACTGCCCCAACGCCGGCTAAGAGACAAAAGAAAAAAAACGATGAGAACGCCGCCTTTAACGATCTAGTCAACGAAGTAAGTCAGTTTGTGGATAGTCAAAAAAAAACACACAACAATTTCTTGGGTGCGATTGGCGAAGTGTTTGAGAAGGTCCCAGAAGAGAGCCGCCTAGATTTTCAAATGGACGTACTTCAATACGTCTATGCTCAATATAAAAATTATAAAAATTGAATTTACGAAATTTAAAAATTTAAATGACATCCAGTTTGAATTCAATTTTGCGAACTTTATATGTAATCTAATTTAGTATGAAATCTGATTTTGATTTTGCGAATTAAATATGTAATCGAATTTAATATGCAATCTCACAGAAAATGCTTGCTATAATTTCATTGTTTCTAATCAAACACAATTGTACATTTTTTTAAGAAAATATTCAGGATATTATTCCAAACGCGTGGTTTTCGACGCAAGTTTACGAGGCTTACGCGGTTACGAGACATTTAAATAAATAACCTGGATATTTTTTTTATAAAAAATTGTACAATTGTGTTTGATTAGAAACAATGAAATTGTAGCAAGCATTTTCGGTGAGATTGCATATTAAATTCGATTACATATTTAATTAGATTACATATTAAGTTCGCAAAATTGAAATCAAACTGGATGTCATTTAAATTTTTAAATTTCCTAAATTCAATTTTTATAATTTTTACATTGAGCATGTTTCGTTGTGAAAATGCACTGAAATATGTAAATGCAAGATCCTATGGACAAGATCCTGAACAGCCCTATTATTTAAAATACTAAAAAGTAGACTGTTTGTAACAACTTTTGTTTTATAAATAGGCAATACTTAAGTACCTTAAAAAGAAACATATTACTTAAAAGACTAAGAAGTATATTGTTTGTAATTCACTTTTGTTTTATAAATACGCCATATTTACAGTGGTCGAAAAAATTATAGTCGCACCATATTTGACAAGTTTTGCCATTTTTTTTTAAATTTTAGTAAATTTTTCATAAAAATATAGTTAATTCTTTAACAAAGCCCGTGTAAAAAATTCCGTTTTATAAAAAAGTCAAAATTAAAAAATAATATGTTAAAACTTGTCAAATATAGTGGGGCTATAATTTGTTTGCCTACTGTATGTACCTTAAAAAGAAACAAAACAATTAAAAGACTGAAAGGTATATTGTTTGTAACCACTATACTGTTTAAAACGGTTTTAACTTAAAAGACTGAATGAAACATATGTTATGTTAACGCCATACTTACCTTGAACAAAAATTAATTTAAAAACCTGAAAGATGTGACGACATTTAAAACATTACCAATAAGTGCCCTCATACTGTGAGTTCAAATTTTTGTTTTCTATCTTAAATAATAAAAACAAAGCATATTCAGTGAGTAGTAATTATTTAAATTTTATTGTTAAAAAGATGTGTCTTCAGAGCATCCCTTAAATCATAATTATTTGAACTGCCTCGGTTCGATGACACCCTACTTATTGAGGGCAATGGAACTACTTCGTTTCGCCATGAGCCAGCGATGGTGGCATCCTCTTCGTAGCGATCAACAAAATCGCTTGCTACATAGTTTGCACACGAAAGCTTAATAAAATTATGCAAGACAATACAAGCTTTCACTATTTGTTCTGCATTTTTCGGGACCATGCATAGCGTCGTTCTCAATATTCTCCATTTGGCAGTGAGTATTCCAAATGCGTTTTCTATAACTCTTCTTGCACGAGAGAGTCTTTTATTGAAATACTCTTGCTCTTCTGGAATACCTCTACCCGGATATGGTCGCATTAAATAACGCCGTAAGGGAAAAGCAGCATCTCCTACTAAATAATGTGGAAATGGCTCGGTTTCTCCTGGCAGAGGCTGATCATGTGGAAGGCCGAGCCTATCATTTTCAATAGCATCTGCCAGTTTTGAAAAGTGGTAGACACCGCCATCGCTTTGACTTCCATATGCTCCGATGTCAACGCAGGTAAAGGTATAATTGGCATCACATACGGCCAAAAGCACGATACTATAATTGCCTTTGTAATTATAGTACATCGACCCTGAATTCGCTGGACAGGTAATATTAATGTGCTTTCCGTCGATGGAACCAACGCAGTTGGGCATATTCCACAGCGACTTGAACTCATTGGAAATACGTCCCCATTCCGTTTCTGACGGGGTCGCCACATACAGGTCAGCTAACAGATCCCATATGGTCATACATGTCTCCAACGTAATCTTCCTGAAAGTCGTCAGGCCGATCCTGTGAACTATTGTGTGGAATTGCCGAGTGCCACCGTGAGCCAAATATCTGCAACAAAAAAATAAAACCAGATACATATATGGAAAATTATACGTATACTATTAAGTAAAACCGATTTTCTCTTACATCAGGGTTATAAATAGTCTGCAGCGGCTCGATATTGGTGTTCTGATTGAATATTTGGTCAGCGAAGCCTCCAGAAATTCGTGCAGCACATTAAATAACGAAAAGGGCATTCTTAATGTCTTGTTAAACTGCTCCTCATCTGCAGCCAAGTTTCTTAATGAACTTTCAAACAATCCATATTTGTGTCGCTCTAAGTACAATTTCCGAACCCAAAATCGGCGCTTCTGTTTTAATCGCAGTTTTAATTTACGCATTTTCGCTAAAATTAGGAAAATTCTCAAAACTTGTTCAGCATTTCGAGTCAACATTTTGTACTGCCAAATGAAACTTTATGAAAACCAACGAATCTGGTGGCCGGAACGATA